TATATATATATATATATATATATATATAAAATAGTAATAAAGTCTTTATTACTATTATATATATAATAGTAATAAAGACTTATCAAATGCTTAAATGACGAACTAATGAAAGAAGTTGTTTAAAATAGATATCCTATCCACTTATATAATCGGCTAAGTGTCTGTTGGTGTGTTTGTGTGGGTGTCTGACCGGAATTTCATAACTCCTGTCCCGCTGGAAGCTAGAGCATTCAAGTTTGAATGGAGTACAGTCGGCAGGATGGGAACACTTGCGGTGGGTGGCGGGACCGGACTGGAGGAGGGGTTTTCGCATATAATTGGTCGGGAGAAATTCCATTGCCTCTGTCTCACTTAACTTATCGTGTTCAAGTTTGGTATACGTACAGGAGAGAAGATACGAACACTCATGGTGGGTGGGAGGGTCCGCCCATGGAGGGCTGGAAATGCGCGAAATTGTTCGAGCGCAAATTCGTAACTTCTGTTCCCATGGACCCGGAACGTTCAAATTTGGAAACAGTGCAGTAGACATGGTGGGAACACTGCGCGCAGAATATTAATTCGGGCTTGAAGCGCTCAAGTTTGGTGGTGTACAGGAGGCCCACATAGGTGAGCACATCTCCACACATGACAGACGCTCACGAGGAGTGTCGGGTGGGTGTGTGCGTGCCTTCAGACGGAATTCCTGTTCTACAGTATCAGAGCGTTCAAATTCGGGGGAAGGACAGGTTGTTTTACACGAAAAAACCCTTTTTCTGTATAAAAAAGCTAAGAACTTCCCCGCTGCTCTTCCGTGTATCGAGAAAATCCGAGCATTATCCTTTCCACAGCATGTTGGATGACGTTGACTACGTATTGGTTCTGCTTGCGTAAAATTCAAGTCGCTGATCTGCTTGCGTAACATTCAAGTCGCTGTGTTTTATGAAGTGCAGAATTACAGTCCGAAAAGATGGGCGCGGAGCACGATGTTCCATCCTTTTTTCCTCGATGGCCTCAGATGGTTCCACGGTGCTCGTTTCCTTCTGCTCACAAGTGGAAGAGCCGAGCCGAAGTGGTCATTTGTTATAAGACCCATGCTGCTCTACGTGTTTCCTTGTGCTGATTTCAAATTTGCTTTCCAAATCTCTGCGAGACAATTCTCTGAACGAAGTTATGACACCTCACAAGGTTGGCGATTCATGGACAAAACTTTAGTTTTTCAAATTTTCACAGGTACTTTTTTAGTTTTTTAATATTACTGCAGATAGATCAATAGCGTTTAATGCAATTCAATATATTATGTACAAAGTGAATTATGGGTAAATTCTTTAAATTTTTCATTTCATTGGAGCTAGTTTTTCTTATTCTTTTATATTTACACACTTTAAGGGGTTGTTTATAATGGAATATCGTTTGAAAAAGTTTAAACGGGACGTTTTTGTGCTTTCCGGGCACCGTGCTTTATCCCCTACACTACCGAGACCTCGCTTGCCCTCTCCTTCTTGATGGCGTAAATGCCATAGCTCATCAGCCCTTACACGTACAACGTGTTGAGCCGGTCGGCCAATATCAGCACAGAATCGTTAAAGAACAGATCGTCCGCCATATGGCTGGCCACGAGTAGCTTGACAGAGTCTCAGAGTAAACACGGGGCTTGGTTATAGGAGATGAACCCGAATCGCCCCGAATACTAGGTCGCAGTGGCCATTCAAGATGAGATGTATACCGACGCAAGTACTTTCCAACGCTAATCTTAAATCTAGGTTCCGAATCTGCGGAAAGATTCTGGGAACAAACTTATGGACCCAGTTTTCCCAGGTGTAATGTGACTTTGTTGTTTTTGTAGAACCGAGCCGTACTGAACGTGCAGCGATGGCACTTTGAGAGGACGATGGACTAATAGGCTTACACGGAGGTTTGAATCCTTGATGCATGTGCTTGTTTTGCTTTCTATAAAATTCTTATATTATATAGACTACATACAGCTCTTCATGCAGGGAACCATAGAACTGCTACAAGTAAATTTTTTCGTCGCCTCTCCGGCCCAATGGGGGTGTACATAGAACCCTTGTGCTCTGTGCACTCAAGATGTGATCATGACATTCCTCAGAAGCTTATGCTGGTTTGGATAGGTCGTGCGTTGGATCAACAGATTCGCTTCAAATCTACTGATCGTCGACTCATAGAGCTCGTTCAAAAGCCATGAAGCGATTCAGGATGCGGCAGTAGTACGGCTTGGTCTTCGTACAAAAACAACATAGTCACATTAAAACTCGCGAAACTGGGCCCGTAACGTTGTTCCCAGAATCGTTTCGCTGTTTTGGAACCCAGATTTGAGATCAGCGTTTGAAACTGCTTACTTCGGTCACATCTCATCTTGAATGGCCACACTGCGACCTAGTATCCCTTCCTTGTGAGCAGATATACAGGGCACCTAACCAACGCGAAGACTCCCAAACGTAGGCATGGATACACATGCGAGATACAGAAAGGAAATCGGTGAAGCACTGCAGAGTCAGGGAATTCTTCCCCTGGATCCACTTGCCTCTCTGGGCCAGTACCGTTAGCCTTTGGTCCCCTATCAGCCACCTGGCGTACGTATCCTCGTTACTATCCGGCTCGAGATCATTGAGTGAGAGTGAGCCACCATCTAGGGAGATCCTCAGAATTTGCAACCGAGTCAGATAATGTGATGACTTCGTCTAGAGTTAATTTTTTTCACTAAACCTCTTCGCTCCCGAAGGACGTGATGAACACCACTACGCCACGAAAACATCGTACCTCACTTTATCGATATATTTAGGTGTTGGTTCGAAAGTCTATGGAGAGTCGAAATCCTTTTCAAAAATAAAAACATCCATTGTGGAAATTGTGCTTGATACCTCTATCACTTACATTGTGCAGTATCTTTTTTTTTAAATGTCATGATTTGCGCCGTTGACCTTTGTCGCATAGAACATGAGCTCCGTCCATTCAATATCCGCAGAGAGCTACACGGAATCTCTGAAAGAATCACAGCAAGTGTGGTACGAGCGCGTGATCTGGCCGTTTAGCACAAAGATTTTCCCTCTATAACACCAAGGCGTATTCAGTTTCCCGAATGAATTTCTTCAATCGCTTTTGTCGAAATCATATGTCTCCATATGAAAGCCGTAGGGTTTCGAGCAATGTGGTGAAGCAATGCCGCCTCTAAGCGTAACTTCATTCACCCTTCATAATACAGGATAGGCCAGAATTATAATGACAACGTGCGCTGACGCATATACCGGATTTCTTTTTCAGATTATTACATTTCATCCGGTTTCTTCCATTTCACAAAGTAGATTACATCTTTTCTTTCTCAGTAACACTGAGCTTTTTGCGAATTTTGAAAAGAGTGGAAGCGTCACTACCCCCTGAGTCATTCATCACTTTACATTTGAAAGTACCTTTTGTAGGGACATATCCAGACGGCTCAATATACCGAAGCAGTAGGTATATCTAACCATAATTTTACAAGAGTTAGGAACAACTACAGATCCGTGGGGGTCATAACATAAGAGGTCTACGGCTACATCGAGGTGGAGTGTTAAAGGCACCGCTCACGATAAAAAAGTTATTGAGTTCTTACCTTATTAATACTCAGCGGACCCCATGGGTAGTAGAAGGGACCCTCTCACTCCCCCAATCTCGACGTCCAGGGCAGAGTGGCAGCCCCGTTGTTGCCGTCGTTCGCGTTTCCGCCCCTCGATCGGTGTCACATTAGACGAGTGTCGAGACAATACAGATTGCTATTATTCGTTCTAGGACCCACGCACAAACAGCTAATCGACGAGTGATGAGGCGATGTTTTCCACCCATTCTTCTTTCCTATGTTTTTCTTTTTGCTGCCGCGATCCCTTATTTAATTTCCTGCTCCTAGAGGCTGAAAAAGGTGAGCTTCTTTCCCTGTTACTAGTTTTTTTTTGTTTATTTACGCTTATAAGTGAATGAATTTTTGCTTACCATTGTCTGTTCTTCGCACCAGGACCCACACGCGCGCAGTGAAACACACTGTTTAGCTCGTCCGGACACCCCACCCTTCTTCATTTTTTGTGGTTTCATTCACGTCCAGCCCCTTTTTTAACGTTTTTTCAAAGCCTTTTTTCACTATGGAAACACCGATGCACGCAGTTTCTTCACCTCAGTCGCACTAGTTACGATCTTGTCTTTCGTTTTTCATCATAATCTGGATTACCCAAAATTATGTGAACGGTGCCTTTAAAGAAGCAAGGCGAAGGTTTGCGAAGCAGTGAAGAGCACCCTGTGCAACGGCTGCAGGGATGGACATCTCATAACGTTGTGCGCAGAATCGTGGAACATCGTCTGCATAACAAGGCTTTCATACGATCAGGAAGTGATTCCCCGAGTGACAGGATAAAAGAGAAGAAAAGGTCGGCTCACAAAGGCTACGCCGTTTCCAGATAAGTCGTCATAAAGAATTCCTGTCCATCGACCAAAAGATATTAATGGTAGAAATGTGCTCAATAAGCAAGGCGACAAGATTTATATGAAGCTGAAAGGAATGATAGTGATACGGCGTTGGGGTCAGGGACGTCCTGCGATTGCGTTTGCAACCATCACCAAAAGGCGAAAACACTGATTTTCTTATAAATTAAGGAGTTAGGGATGATTTGGAGATCTATTTGACCTCGCCGTGCGCAACAGGACACTTCGGCTATTCGAACCGGACATATTATCAAGAAGAAGCTTCTGACCACAGATCTAATATTGTTCAGAAATTTCGTAAAAGGAGTTCCCCAATTTCATAAGCTTCGGTTAGTGGCCAATTAGGAGCTCTGACCTGAACATCATGAATGCCTCAGTATGGTCAACCTTGGAAATAGAAGCATCCGTTAGCTTAGCTGCGTGCCACCGTCGACTCTGTGTATCGTCGTTGCCGGGGTTGAACAAAAGCAGAAAGTTAGATGCAAGAAAGTCTGAGTTCCAATGTGCTGTTTTGATTGAAGATCATAATATAGATACTTTTCTAAAATTTGTCTGCTTATTAGCTTTATATCTGTTTTTATGGATGTGATATCTGTGTCTCATAATTTTAGCCCACCCTGCACATCACAAAGGAGAGCACAAGAACACACGTTTGCTTTATTTCTTATAGATTAGGGGCACTAGATATAGTAAAAGGATAAACACAACGTAGGAACAAAAGAGCGGCTCCTTATGCCGTTTCATTGGTATTCCTCATTCCCGCAGAAAAATTCATCACAGTAGAAAGTTTTTATTATTTGCTCGTTGGCTAAAGGGTTTCTAACACTTAATTTAATTATCACTATTACGAACAGTACTTTGTTCGCCTTCATCGAAACAACTCAATGACATTTGCATCGTACACTTTTCTACTTGAAATTAATGTAATTCATAAGATAGGTTGATATATGCCACCTTGTCTATCGAACATTTTTCTTCATTGACCTTACCGGGTCTAGATTCGTAGAAAAATGATCGGAGTGCATCACGACCACCAGACAACTACCCTCTCGTCCACCTCCAACTTCCATTTTTCTCTCGAATCATGTCAACAGTGTCATTCCAGTCACTGAGGGTTGTCTCGTTCCAGGATTCCCGGAGCTGGATGGGATTGGAGTCACACAATGAGCTCCTATTCTGCGGTTAGGAGATAATTAGCCAATTGGAAATGGTTTTGAAATGTAGGAGGGTAAGGAAAATGAGAGGCGGACTACGCTCTTTCTGTGCTTGGCCGGAAGCTGCATTTGCCTTCATGCGGCAAGTGTTCGGCATGGTAACCCATCTAGAAGCATGTGTTCGGGTAACTAGCTATTGCATGAAAACCGATTCTAGAAAAATAAGCCCTGCTGTCCCTCCGCTCTCTCTTCTTGCTGTTGAAACCCACTGTCGAAATAACATGACCAGCTTCGAGAGTTCTCGAGCCTTTATCAGAGCTTCGCAAGCGACTGATGATTGTGAAGTATCAAGGACAGTAGTATAGGTAGAACCCATTTTTCTGAACGTGAGTAGAATTGATACAACAGCGTTCACCTATCGTTAGAACGCTGTCAAGCTTCAAAGCCATACCAGGTTGGGTGAACCCAGGAGTGTTATGGTCTGTATCTTTTGAGTATGAGCATTTTCACTGGCAGCATATGTAGAAAAACAGATATCGTAGGTCGCCAACTACGTCATCAGTCTTGCGGAGACAATAAAGCAACGTCTTTTATGTCACGTATGAGAAGAAGGAAATATATTTCTTGATACATTTGGGAATTTATAGGGATACTTGTCAATGCTCGCTTCTCGTCGAAAGCTTATTGATTTGGGCTGGGTACGTGAGAAATCGAATTGAACCTAGCGGTAAAGCATTCGGGTGAACTCCAGCTACAAGCATCATCGTGCTTTTGCATCAACATTGAGTTGCGACTACGATGTGTTAGGAACATTTCATTGACAGTTGAGTTAATATACAGAACAATTATCTTTATTTTTATTATTGCTTGCATTCTCAACACTAGAGTGGAGTCAGGAAAACGTCTAACAAACTCTTACACGGCTCATGGAACAAACTAGGGTGCGTGGCATGGAAGACCGTTAGGGTTAACATCACTAAAACCATTCGAGAGGCGCTTCTATCTCCTACGGGCTTGAAAACCACCCGTGGGACCGTTTCAGTACGGACTAGATCCATTCATAGGAAAGAACAGAATAGGATACGTTGATGCTAGAATGACAGAGTTTACGAATGATCGAAGGATGTCACCCATCAAAGTTTCGGTAGCACCCAAGTCTTAGAAAAAATCACAGCAGTCTCAGTCGCAGCGGCGAGACTTGGCAGAACAATTGCGGTCCCTCGGGGAAGTTCCCCGGTTGGATAATCACAATGTCATGAACGTGATGTTCATGTAGAGGTTGATGCATTTTTGAATGCATCCGAAAAGGTCAAATGGGATATTTACTCTGACCTGTTCAACAGCTTTGTTCAAAGGCTCACCTTGCTTTTTGGCAGGATCAATGAGTTGTCCTTTGTCTGATTCGTTCGATTCTGATCCTATCTTATATTCTGGTTTGGAGTCTGGCGCGCTATATTGCCTTTGTGGAATAGTACCCTGGTTCGCGTAGAGTTGTTCCGAATCACTTGAAAGTCAATCATGATTTGTAATCAGACCTTGACTCTCATGCGGTTCTTATCGGACCGTTAGGTACCTATTCAGTAGGGAGGCAGTCGGACTTTGCTGTTGTGTAGGAAAGGAGGTTCTGACAATATTAGCAGTTCTTGCCCGATCTTCCTAATTATTGCTATGTATGGGCTCTTTACTCAGGTCACCCCCATTGCAAATGGCAGAATAACGGATGAAGAAGAGCCACAGGAGCAAGAAGGGTTCCGATGAGT